CTTAAGTGCTGGTTTAAATTTTGCATTATTGTATGATCTTTATGATCTATTATTTACGTTACTTGTAGGAACTTATACTAGATTCGTTTAAAAGTATGTTACTTGTAGAAGGAAGCGCTTACGATCTATACAGTATATACATATGTACATATATTCTTAATCAGGTTCGAAAGACCAATCACGTCCGGGTTCCCGTGGTCGACGTCCCGAAAACTATATACTTTCCAGGTTGATATTGGGCGTATAATTTCTAGTTTGTTTCAGAACGTTGGTACAATATGATTTTATGGGTCTGCTTGCTAAGAGATACGTGCGGCTAGCTCTGAATATTATATGTGTCCGTCCCACCAAATTTATGTTCTACGTGATCACCCTGTTACCAGTAACAACACTTTGCAGTACTCGTTTCGATGATCTTTATTTATCTCATGTTACACTTTGATTTGTCCGTTGCGGGATCCTCTTCCGCTTGGGTGATGCTTGCTTCCCAAGTTACGAATGCTGCCACGCGTGATTGCTAGAGAGGAAATGGGCTGTTTTTAGGAAAGCGGCACCGTTCCCAACCAAGGGTGAATAGATGCAGGGCTCTCAAGGCAACCACCGTGCTAACCGCAACCTCCTGTATCTTTCTTTGTCCAAGCCGGTCTCGCCCCACGACTGTTCAGTTTCCACTGACGCTTTGTGCAATCGCCCGGCTTACGCCGCAGTCCCTGTAGCAAGACGACAAAAAGCACGGACGCTCCACCCTGGCATTTCCTCCAAATGGTTCGTGCAGTTGGGTGCAGGGCACTCGGGCTAGGAATTGCTGTAGGCAACCGTCGGGCGAAAAAAAAAAAAAGGTTAGCCAGTCACGTATGCTTTGACCGGTCGCGCGGGTAGTACGCCTGCTCGGTTCTCACGAACGATTCGGGCAACCGTCCAATTCACAATCTTCGAAACAGTTCGTTAGCCTGTTGAAGCACTATCGGACTCGCCTGGCCAACGCTAGGATCTGGTATCGATTAGTGTTGTAAAAAGTTGTTGCCTTGACGTACTTTGTCTTAATGGACCCCAATTACCTGCTTCGTCCCGACGTAGCGATCTTGGTCCTTGTTGACTTTCACGGCTGTATCACCCTTATTTACTTCACCTTGTTCACTAGTGTGTTAGTTCTCCTTCACTATCCATTCTTCCATTCCTCGGCCTGCTCTTATAGGTCTCTTTTAACAGTTATTCCTTAATGTCTTCAGTCTCCAGATCTAAAATCCACTGTTTTACCATTTGTCCGGACCAAAGTCCAGCTTAGTACCGTTGCTTCCTTGGAATCGCTGTATCTAGGTCGATTTAATATTCATTCTCCCCTAAAAGGAAGGAGTAGTTTGTTATTTCTCTCCACATAGATGGTAGCAAATGCACGCAATTATTGAGGTATATCTAAATTTTCCGTCATTCCTAAAGCTCCTTTGTAGCTCCGTTGTAGGTCAATAATATCACCGTGTCAACGCTGTTTTATAAAACGCAGGTCAACAACAACCAACCTTCTGAATCTTACTTCGTTGGTGATACATTGTTTCAAAAATAACATCCAAAAGAATGTCATCTACACCTTTTCCTATACATAGTCTAATAATAAAGTTATAATTTAAAACAGGGGAGAACGCTATTGTAGAGTTTCCTGACTGTCGCTCAGCTTGTGCCAGAGCTGGCGTGCGTTGGCGTGCGTTACATATTCTTCGATTTGCTGCTCATATGCATTGAATACGACGATTTATCAGGAATTTATCAATGCCTGTAATTTCAGATGTCAAACTCGGAAGCACAAAAAATTAAACAATATAATATACATATATATCTACATATGTATATATGTAGAACCAAGGTATAGGCATTGTAGTCATTTTAATTACTTTCTGTCGTATTTTCTCGTGCTATTTATTACATGCAAATGATTTGGCCTTTGATGTTAAAGCATAAAGAGGTTATGGCAATTGTCATAACTAAGGCACAAACTAGCGAAAGTACGAAGCTAGCCCGATAAACTGTCTCAACTGTGTCACAGACTGCGGGGGCGGCCAGTCAAGAAGAGATTTAAGAAAAGAGCATTGGGTCATGTTTGAAGAAAATCCAGCATTAATAAAAGTTTGCAAAACTACTTGTAATCTATGAAAAGCTTCTTCCTTGGTAGTGGCACCTATATGTTCATCGCCGATATAAACAATGACTTATTTATTCTTAAGATCGCATAAAGCGCAATTAATAGCTCTTTGAAAAACAGAAGGGCCATTTTTGAGTAGAAATGACACTGCCATATTGTCCCTCTGGAGTCAGGAATGCTGTTTTCTCGATTGAATTTACATGAATTGGAATCTGGTGAAATCCATTTGCAAACCTAACTTTCTGATCAGAAATAAGTGGCAACGGGTATTTATCAGAAACTGTGTTCAAATTTTGTTTTCTTATCGTTTTTCTTTTTTACCAGTAATATTGCATACACAAACGGGGAGAAACTTGGCCTTATACTGTGGGCACTCATCAATTGTTGAATCAAAGATCTAACTTTTTAGTTCTCCTCCACACTCAATCTACAAGGGATAATACCTGGACTGTCTTATTTTGATCAATTAAACGAATCTCTATTATAATTATAATTATAATAATTGATCTTTGTCTGTAAAACGTAAATCAGAAACTGTATCTTTTTCCACATCCAGTAACTTTCACCTGGCCACGAGGGAAGAAGTAACCATTCTGCTCCCTTACAACGATAAGCACTCCTTCTTTTGGGCGTCCATTCAAAAAATTCATAACTGTTGCGGCCAACGTTCCTCAGTTCCTGTATAATTTTGCAAAAACAATTCCCTAGACAGCGTCCAAGTGATTTCCGGAAAGTATGTTTGGGATAACCAATGAGACGCGCTTCCTTCCAACGCCTTGCCATGTAACTGATTTTCCGAGAGAATATAGTCCACTGTTAAGCACCATGATGCTCCATCTAAACCAGTGCGATCGGGGTTAAATTTTGGAAGCACTACAGCTACTGTGTCATTTGGCACTCTTTACGATCGCTGCACAGCCTGTACGAGTTCCGCAGGATCCTTTTTTGGTTTCCACAAAAAAACGCTTCCTGGCACGGACATATTGTATATGTATGTATGTATGTATATGTAGATGAAGTGGTGATAATCAAAATTCAATTTCCTTTTGCTCCACTTCTCTTGCAAGACGCGATTCTTAAATGTTCATTTCATTGCATGTAAATTATTATTGCTCAAAGTGTTAAATGTCAAATTTCGTTTGGCATTAATAATTACCTATTATTACTTCTTTAAAGTATGGCTCTTCTTTTTAAACTGAAATCTAACTTCAGAACCAGGCTTCTATCACCGTCGAAGATCTCGAAATCTTCTATGTGTATTCACTATGTCCAGTTTCCAATTAATCTTTATTTTTAAAAATGATTTCCCTTTAATCAAGACTCTAAAATCAAGCTGTAAATACTTAAGGACGTGTTTTCTGATAGACTCTGCATTTCGACTTCTGCTCACGACTTGTCTACTGTTAAGTTATTTTCATATCTCAATGTTTAAATTTTAAAGATTATTTCGTAACTTGATCAACTTTATTACAACTGCATTACAATTAGTCAACTCTAGAATAATTATTGGTATTTCGTTAGTATGGTGTATATTAAAACATTTTCAATATTTTCTTCTTTTGTCTTTGGGCTTTCTATCTCAAGTTCTCTTATCTCGACAGAGTAGCCCTTTTTATAATCCTTAGCCCTATTAAATTAATTCGTTTGAACATCGTTCCACGTTTTGTTCCCCGCTCGTGCCAAATATATGTCGTACTCAAGGATATGCAAACGTGAAACACAATATAACTGAACGAACGCTTTAGTCGATTTCCTCGACTATTAGATACCGATTTCTCACGTATTTCCGTGTACAAAACCACGGATGGACAGACCTGCAAGCCTAGATCGACTCGGCTGGTTATCAATAAACGCCTCCTTCTACCTGTTACATACTCTTCAACGTTTATAAAGTGACTTAAATATAAGCGTTCATGGAGAAGTTTTTAACGACCTAGTCCAGTCTGCGAACTGACAGACTCATCACTCTCTTTGGTTTCATTCCACTAGTCCAAAAAGTTTTGCATACGTGGTATAAGCAACGTTTATATAATATGTAAAATCGTATCGTCGGCGAAAGAACGTATATGAACTCCATCAATGACTGTAAAAAATTACAACATAGTATGTTATTCCTCTTAACTGATCCTCTTAATCAATCGTCCTCAAATTTTTCGGGAATATTAGAGGGAGTGTTTGTTCTGAAGATGCCTACATCAGCATAGGCCCATAGTGGACGGTAAAAAGTACCTATTTTCAACTACTAGCCCCCTATTTTAAACGTATTTAAAAAAAATGTTTAAAACTTACACAAGCGTACATAGCTCCAAGTTTCGCTCTCGGAAGAGTTACACGGAATATAAATTCCCAGACCTGTTCCAAGTCTTATTTCCAATTATTTAAACGATATCGCATATCCGTCTGTCATTACTCTGTTAACTTAAAAAAAAAAGCTTGAAAAAACAATTCCATTGAAGTTTTTCCACCTCTAGTTTTCAACAAAATTGCACCTGACCGTTTGAGAAAAACAAATTACCATTTATTCAAACATTTAATTTTTAAAAAGGACGAGGTAATACATACATATGCCAGTAACGGAAATTTGATCGGTATAGTTTCACCACATTATTATTATTAGTTTGATTGTTTCTACATAAGACTTACACAATCATTTTGTTTTTAGATAACTATCCTTTGAACCAAACTGTGTTGTGCACATACATATGTTAATTTAAATATTTAAAGGATTTTAGTAGCATATAATATGTAAAATGTATGGCGATGGAATCCATATATTATGGATCATATGCATGGATGCATTTTTGTGGAAATACGCTAAAAATGTTTGCACATATTTAAGTATATATTCGAGTCATATATCGCCTACTATATTTTTCCCTACTGCGGTCACACTATTGCCACTACTTTAGTTTTACAAATATAAGTGCGCGCCGACTACATGCTAGGCTTAAATAGCTAGAGACAGGAGACCATTACAGTTGTTTCAGAATTCTATAGACAATAAAAAGCGCGATGTCCGAGATATCAAGTGAACTTCTAAAATTATTTGCGTAAGTATCATATGATGAAATTGAATAAAGATGCAAGGATAAACACGTACACACACGTGCAAGCAAATGTGTGTATAGAAAACAAAGGCGATAATAAAAACAAAAAAAATTATCCACATAATTTAACTAAGGTGTACAAAAGCATGTATATCTCAATACGTGATTATTGTTAGCATTTTAACATGGGACATGTCTAGAATTTGATGCAAATGTTTTCCTTTGTCGCCTTACTTATCCCATTAGCCGCAAAATGCTATTGTTCGTGCTAGATAACCCACTTCTATCAGTGTGCACTCATATCTAATGGTCATAAACCGCAATCTCTTTTAAGCTTTGTAGACGGCAAAAAAGAAGATTACATCGGGGCCCTAAAAACTGTTGTGGGTATTCAGTCCGTTTCAGCTTGGCCCGAGAAGAGAAGCGAGATTGATCGCATGGTGAAATGGACCGCGGATCGGCTGAGGTCTCTGGGCGCTGAGACAGAGCTGGCAGATGTGGGTCAGGAGACTTTGCCGAACGGCCAGATAATACCTTTACCAAATGTTCTGCTTGGAACTTTGGGCAAAGACCCCTCTAAGAAGACCGTGTTGGTCTACGGTCACTTGGACGTGCAGCCTGCCTTGAAGGAAGATGGATGGGACACCAATCCTTTTGAGCTTACACAGGTGGATGGCAAGCTGTTTGGACGTGGGGCTTCCGATGACAAGGGACCTGTGCTGTGCTGGATCCACGCTATTGAAGCGTATCAGAAGCTCAGCATTCCACTACCAGTGAACGTTAAATTCGTATTTGAAGGAATGGAGGAAAGCGGCAGCCAAGGCCTCGACGACTTGTTATTGGAACGTAAAGATAATTTTTTAGCGGATGTTGATTTTGTTTGCATTTCCGATAACTACTGGCTTGGAAAAAAACGTCCTTGCCTTACATATGGTCTTCGCGGTCTGGCATACTTTCAAGTGGAGGTGGAATGCTCCAGCAAAGACTTGCATAGCGGAGTTTTTGGGGGCACCGTTCACGAAGCAATGCCAGATCTGTGTCATTTGCTGAGCATACTTGTCGATAAGGATACGAAAATCCTAGTCCCTGGTGTGGATCGCGACGTGAGTAGTATGAATCCCAAATACTTGATGCTTTACATTAATTTTTTTTCGCACCCTTACAGGTCGCACCACAGATCAAGAACGAGCAATCTATATATGAGAACATAGACTTTGAAGTTTCTGATTACAAGTTAGTTAATCTTATCCGCTAACTGACGTCGTAAATATCTGAATCACTGTAATCTTTTAGGAAAGACATTGGTGTTGAACAGCTGCCACATAATGGCGACAAAACAAGGCTACTTCAAGCCAGGTGGCGGTACCCCAGTCTTTCTGTTCACGGAATTGAAGGTGCATTTTATGAGCCAGGCGCAAAAACTGTCATTCCGAAGAAGGTTATTGGCAAGTTCTCCATTCGTCTTGTCCCCAACCAAGATCCAAAGCACATTGAGGAGTGTGTCGTGAAATACCTTAATGATAAATGGGCAGAGCGGGGCTCGCCTAACAAAATGAAGGTTTGTATTTTGTAATGTTCAGCTTAGCTATGTTCTACATAATACTTGTGTTTTAAGGTTACTATGCTCTCAGCTGGCAAGCCCTGGACTGAGGACCCTAACCATCCTCATTATGAGGCTGCAAAAAGAGCCATAAAGCATGTATTCAGTGTAGAACCAGATATGACCCGCGAAGGGGGATCTATTCCAGTAACGTTAACATTGCAGGAAGCCACTGGTAAAAACGTTATCCTTGTTCCAGTAGGTGCATGTGATGACGGTGCCCACTCTCAAAATGAGAAAATTGATATTTACAACTACATTGAAGGCGTAAGATAGCACCATATAACATCACTGCTCACATCTAAACTCTTACAATTTTTAGACTAAACTTCTTGGCGCCTATCTGCACGAAGTGGGAAAATTATAAAAACGCGGGGCTGTACAATGATAAGATAAAACATCACAATGGTGCACATATAAATTTATCTTTATATCCATTTTATTTTGAGAAACTCCTGTACAATATTTAGTAAACATTTGTTATATTCAAATCTTTTAAACATTAATTTTGAATAAAAGGGTTTATTGTATTCTTTAAAAATCGTTAACGAATAACGGTGAACAACGGTCCACGTAGTTACGAAATTAAAATATGCTGTGAGTGACCGACCATAACGAGTTATATAACAATTGAAAGATTAAAAAAAATATATTGGCTTAGGAGACAAACCGATAAAAGTGTATACTTACAAATACAAATTATTAGGACTGATCGGACGGTGGGGGATACCTTCACTCACAAAAAATATATAAATATTACTGTTAAAATTACGCAATGATTTGTTAAAACTTTTGAATAACTTTTCTAGGTGAAATTTATTTTTTCCAAAAAACGACCAGCCCATTAAAATTAGTTTCATTGTTTCTACATAAGTCTTGCACAATCATTTTGTTTTTAGATAAATACCCTTTGGCCCAAACTGTGTTGTGCACATATGTTAATTTAAATATTTAAAGGACTTTAGTGGCATATAATATGTAAAATGTATGGCGATGGAATCCATATATTATGGATGCATTTTTGTGGAAATACGCTAAAAATGTATGCACATATTTAAGTATATATTCGAGTCATACATAAATCTGCCTAGTATATTTTTCCCTTTCCGCGGTCACACTACTCTCACTACTTTAGGTTTACAAATTTATGTGCGCGCCGACTGCATGCTAGGTTTAAATAGCTAGAGACAGGAGACCGGTACAGCTGTTTCAGAATTCTATAGACAATAAAAAGCGCGATGTCCGAGATATCAAGTGAACTTCTAAAATTATTTGCGTAAGTATCATATGATGAAATTGAATAAAGATGCAAGGATGAACACATGTACACACGCGTGCAAGCAAATGTGTGTATAGAAAACAAAGGCGATAATGATGAAAACCACTACACATACTACACATATCTCAATACGTGTTTATTAATTAGCATTTTATCATGGGACGACATGTCTAGAATTTGCTGCAAATGTTTTCCCTTGTCCCCTTTGTGTTCGAATATCACGAAATGAAAAGCAAACCCGACATAACCACTAAATGCTTATCCCATTAGCCGCAAAATGCTATAGTTCGTGCTAGATAACCCACTTCTATCAGTGTGCACTCATATCTAATGGTCATAAACCGCAATCTCTTTTAAGCTTTGTAGACGGCAAAAAAGAAGATTACATCGGGGCCCTAAAAACTGTTGTGGGTATTCAGTCCGTTTCAGCTTGGCCCGAGAAGAGAAGCGAGATTGATCGCATGGTGAAATGGACCGCGGATCGGCTGAGGTCTCTGGGCGCTGAGACAGAGCTGGCAGATGTGGGTCAGGAGACTTTGCCGAACGGCCAGATAATACCTTTACCAAATGTTCTGCTTGGAACTTTGGGCAAAGACCCCTCTAAGAAGACCGTGTTGGTCTACGGTCACTTGGACGTGCAGCCTGCCTTGAAGGAAGATGGATGGGACACCAATCCTTTTGAGCTTACACAGGTGGATGGCAAGCTGTTTGGACGTGGGGCTTCCGATGACAAGGGACCTGTGCTGTGCTGGATCCACGCTATTGAAGCGTATCAGAAGCTCAGCATTCCACTACCAGTGAACGTTAAATTCGTATTTGAAGGAATGGAGGAAAGCGGCAGCCAAGGCCTCGACGACTTGTTATTGGAACGTAAAGATAATTTTTTAGCGGATGTTGATTTTGTTTGCATTTCCGATAACTACTGGCTTGGAAAAAAACGTCCTTGCCTTACATATGGTCTTCGCGGTCTGGCATACTTTCAAGTGGAGGTGGAATGCTCCAGCAAAGACTTGCATAGCGGAGTTTTTGGGGGCACCGTTCACGAAGCAATGCCAGATCTGTGTCATTTGCTGAGCATACTTGTCGATAAGGATACGAAAATCCTAGTCCCTGGTGTGGATCGCGACGTGAGTAGTATGAATCCCAAATACTTGATGCTTTACATTAATTTTTTTTCGCACCCTTACAGGTCGCACCACAGATCAAGAACGAGCAATCTATATATGAGAACATAGACTTTGAAGTTTCTGATTACAAGTTAGTTAATCTTATCCGCTAACTGACGTCGTAAATATCTAAATCACTGTAATCTTTTAGGAAAGACATTGGTGTTGAACAGCTGCCACATAATGGCGACAAAACAAGGCTACTTCAAGCCAGGTGGCGGTACCCCAGTCTTTCTGTTCACGGAATTGAAGGTGCATTTTATGAGCCAGGCGCAAAAACTGTCATTCCGAAGAAGGTTATTGGCAAGTTCTCCATTCGTCTTGTCCCCAACCAAGATCCAAAGCACATTGAGGAGTGTGTCGTGAAATACCTTAATGATAAATGGGCAGAGCGGGGCTCGCCTAACAAAATGAAGGTTTGTATTTTGTAATGTTCAGCTTAGCTATGTTCTACATAATACTTGTGTTTTAAGGTTACTATGCTCTCAGCTGGCAAGCCCTGGACTGAGGACCCTAACCATCCTCATTATGAGGCTGCAAAAAGAGCCATAAAGCATGTATTCAGTGTAGAACCAGATATGACCCGCGAAGGGGGATCTATTCCAGTAACGTTAACATTGCAGGAAGCCACTGGTAAAAACGTTATCCTTGTTCCAGTAGGTGCATGTGATGACGGTGCCCACTCTCAAAATGAGAAAATTGATATTTACAACTACATTGAAGGCGTAAGATAGCACCATATAACATCACTGCTCACATCTAAACTCTTACAATTTTTAGACTAAACTTCTTGGCGCCTATCTGCACGAAGTGGGAAAATTATAAAAACGCGTGGCTGTACAATGATAAGATAAAACATCACAATGGTGCATATATAAATTTATCTTTATATCCATTTTATTTTGAGAAACTCCTGTACAATATTTAGTAAACATTTGTTATATTCAAATCTTTTAAACATTAATTTTGAATAAAAAGGTTTATTGTATTCTTTAAAAATCGTTAACGAATAACGGTGAACAATAGTCCACATAGTTACGAAATTAAAATATGCTGAGATTGACCGACCATAACAATTGAAAGATTAAAAAAAAATTATTGGCTTAGGAGGCAAACCGATAAAAGTGTATACTTACAAATACAAATAATTAGGACTGATCGGGCGGGGGATACCTTCACTCACAATAAATATATAAATATTCTTGTTAAAATTACGCAATGATTTTTTTTAACTTTTGGATAACGTTTCTAGATGAAATTTATTTTTTGCAAAAAACGATATTTTTAAAACTTAAATCTGATAAGGCAGATATGCGTATATGCCTATGCCTAATGCCCATATAAGGCATTTTAGTTTTACCACTTTTGGAAAAACCGCCTACTTACTACACCCATAACTTCTGAACACCTACCTGGGCTTAAAGAATTGTTCTTCATGTCCTTAAAAAATTATACTTTCTACAGTTTGGGCAGTTTGTAGACGTGGAACATGCTTGTGTTGCCCATGACATCTTAACTCTCTAGCCATTATAGTCCTCCAGATCACAGCAATCATACGGATAGACTCGGATCGAGTCGGCTAGTGATCAAGAATATCTATACTTCATAGTCCGGTGGCTTCGGGAACAAATAAATATATTTATAAATCGTGGCGAATGAGTACATTTTTGTTCCTCGTATATGTATATATATATATATATATATATATATCTTATGAACTACAAAAAGGTAGACTGCTGAGATTAGTCATGCAGATTCCAGAGACACAGACGCAGTTTGTTTCCAAATGTTGCCACGCCCACTCGAACGACCACAAACCGCAAAAAACTGACCCGTCCACACTTCTGAAGAAATGTTTAACTTTTTTAATTTTTTTTCGCAATTTTTTCGCCTATATTCCAGAAAATTATAAAATTTCTCGTTCGAACTTCCATTAGCTGAGTAACCAGTATCTGATAGTCGGGGAACTCGACTATAGAATTCTATCTTTTTTTATTTGCGTTAAGCAACCAATTGAATGATTTAAAACGAAGGAACTAACATATGCAACGAACATCACAGCGAAACATAACAGAAAGGATGAAATTACAATTTAATTGACAAAGGGTTTAGACAATATTTTTAAAGCACTCGCGTTCTTTGCCTTCCTCTTGTCCAAAGGTCTCCTGAATGACGTTTCTTCAGTCTTCGATAGGTTAGTCAATCAAGCCGCTAGGTGGTTGGTGTGGGCTTGAAGACGATCGTTGTAGCGACTTGAATGGCGATGGATTTTAAGTCTTATTCCGGCCAAGTTTGGCCGGTTGTGCCCTAGGTTAATAATATATAAATAGCTCCCGCGATTGCCTGGCAGGAGCACATTGAGCCATTTTAAACTGTTTTAACAAGGTATATACCATCTTAACAATTGCCCGATCTCAAATGTTATGATTAAAATGAAAGTTAATAAACATTATTCCCTGAAAAGTATGTAGCAAATAGAATGTATTATTTGTCTTGCCCCTAATGCCAACAGAATTTTAACGAGTATCAGATAGTGTAGAAAATCGACTATAGCGTTCTTTCTTGTTTTTTTTTTTTTTCTTTTATATAAATCTCTTATATTGATTAATTTAAATAAGTTAACTATTTAACTCAGCGGTGAGTATTATCCTTGTTTGTACAAATGCAATGCAATAGCCCGACGTTTGTAATCGTAACTTTTCCGCGTTGTATACTCGATACTCTCCGTAACTCTGCGCACCTGCAGTTTTAACGATGTAATGATGACTTAGCGTGGATATATTCCCGTATATTCCGAAACCATCAACCATCTCCTCAAAAGTCTTTGAGGACCCGTTACCATTTGTCCAAAATTATCATTTGAATTACACCGAACTTGTAAAACACCGTCAATGCCTTTAGGAAATTATATAACAATATGTGGGCCACCACGATAAATATTGAGTTGGTAACATTTTAGTATCTAGGTTAATTGCCCAGGAAGTCGATAAAGAGTTTTTCAAATGTCCTTTTCGTTTTTTCCCTTTTGGTGATTTTCACCTGCATCCTAAATTTCAGCGCTTTGGTCTCCCCGAACGAATTAGAGCACCTGAATGG